GGCCTGTGCTCTTCACAGACAGCTTGCTCTTGTCAGTGGCTTTGGTCTCAGGCTTGCCTGGTGGGCAGGGAAGGACGGGTTAGTGTCCCAAGAGGCTTTGTGGACATTCAGGTGCATACTATCCCACACTGGACATCACCACCAGAGATGTGGGGACATGACAGAGTCAAAGGGACACGCCACCACCCTCGGTGTTGGGGCAGAGCCATGGCCAGGCCCTCAGTGCACCCAGCCAGCCCCCAGCTCAGTGCATGGCCACAAGGCCATGGGGCAGGCACAGCTCTGGGCAAGCAGGGCTTAGCATGAGGCCAGACTCACAACCTGCCTTCAGGGATGCACAGCCTGGCAGCCAGGCAGCTCCAGCCCATGTCCTGGCACCAGGTCTGAGCACAGTCACAAGGTGTCTCATGGCCAACATGCTCAGGGAAGGCCCACAGAGATGCCAGCCAGCCCCCTCCCCATCAGAGAAGCTGGACTCTGCCCAAATTTGGTCTCACCTGCCACTTTGAGGGTGCTCTGGGCAGTGTGGGTGATGGGGGAGGTCACAGCCACTGGAGGGGTCTTGCCCTTCTTGAGAGAGCCCGGGGTGCCCAGGCTGACAGGCTTCTTCAGCTCACCACCCTTGGACCCCTCCTCACTGCCCTCTGAGGGCTCCCGCCGCCACTTGGAGGAGCCATGCTCCATCTTCAGGCTGCTGCTGTCGTAGTCCAGCTTCTTGGGTGCCTTGTCCTCACCCTCACCGTACCAGCTCAGCCCGCTCTCTGCCAGTGACCTTTTCTCCGAGTCCGTGCGCAGCTGCGGGCGGAGCAGAGTCAGGGGTGCTCCCCCCAAACCCAGCCCCAGCGAGCACCAGCCACGCTGTGCCATGCCTTAGCTCCCCCATGCCAGCACCCTCCATCCACACGGGGGGTGGGGCCGGAAGCCACAGGGCCAGGAAAGGTCCGGGGCCCATGGGAACCTACCGCTATGGCCGAGTTCCTGCGCGAGGCAGTGGGGGTAGAGGGCAGGGAGTTGAGCGAGGAGCTGGCGTTGAACTCCTCCGAGCTGAGGTTGTCAGAGCCATCGCTGAGGCCGCTGCTGATGGAGCTGCTCTCATCCCAGCTGCAACAGCAGAGCCAGCGTCAGACCCCCCTGCCCAGCTCCAGCCCTGCCTGATGGGTCCCTACCAGTTCCCATGGGATTTCTCCACTCCAGGGTCCAACAGGGGGCAAACCTCAGCTCCTGACAGCACCTGCTGTGGGGCTGTGGCAGGAGGTGCCACACAGTGGCCA